AAAAGGTAGGGGCAGACAGATGTCCAGAGAGGGAAGAAATCAACTTGTTCAGCCATGGCCAGCCAGGGAAAGAAATAGCCAAAGAGCCCAAGGCCCCTATACAGAGCTCCCCTCCCAGAACCCCACTAACTCATTCCTGAGTTTTACTAAACCTAAGACCCTCTTTCTGTGACCTATTCAGCGGAGATGGTCCTCTCTCAGCAGTGGAGACTTTGCCCTCAGGCTCATCAATCTCACAGGGAACCTAAACTAGCAACCCTGTGTGTAACCCCAAACAAAAGCTCTCTGCCAATCATGTACCTACTGGAATCATCTCCCTCTTTCACAGTCCTGACCTATGGAGGCAGAATGAGTTGAGCACAGGTTGCAAAATTCTCCAGACTTCCTCACCCCATGGGCTGTCACATGGCTGGGATAATGGATAGGGAGGAGGGCTAGACTTCACTCCCACCTCTATACTTTGCCCATACCATCTCCCCAAGGATGCTCTCTCCGTTTAAATCTCACCTCCTCCAGAAAGTCTCCTATTCACTGGCTCTTGCCTCCTCCCCCCATCCCCCCCACCCCCCCCCCCCCGCTCCTTGTGTCCATGGGAAAGTCTGCCAGGCCCTCCTTGATCTCCCCATGAGAAAGCGGGGACATAACCTGTTTAAATCTGTGATGGCCAATTTTCAGTCCCAACCTCTAGAATTTGGTTCCCACCATCCCAAATCAGTAGCTCCCCCAGGGAGGGTCAGCGGTTGGTTCACAAACACCTCTCCTCCTTCCTCATATCAACTCCTGCCAGCATTGGAAACAGCTACCTCCATGGCCCCAACTCATGACCCAAATCTATTGTGGAGTCCAGGCCGGAGCCAATGCTCCCATCCTCCTCCTCCCAACCCTAAGGTAGCTCACACTCGCTGTTCAAAGGTCGGCAAGGGTGGATACAACTTAGATCACTGCAGGTGCCTGTTGTGGCGAAGGGCTCAAGGAAGGCCACAGGCACCAGCTTCTAGTCGCCCCAATCCCCAGCTGCATGCGCCATCCCCAGGAGGAGGAGGCCAGTTTCCAGGGAACGCCAGGTGGGGTTGAGGGGGATGGAGGGCCCAAGGCTCAGGCTCCAGAATCCAAGGGTCTGACGTCACCCAAATCTCTGGTTCCCTCTGCGGGAACAGAAGATGGGGCTGGTAGGAGCTGGAGGAGCCTGGGGTCGCCCAAAGCACTCTTCCCTAGCTCCAAACAGGAAGGTCACCTCGACTTTCCACCTCTCCAGAAGCTCGGCCTGCCCCCCGTATCCAAAGGTGAGGTGTAGGGGGTACAAAGCTGGAGTCGGTGACCCTCCTTCCATTCGGCTCCCAGTTTCCCCGCAAAGCCCTCCTCCCAGCCTTCAGGCCCAGAACTCACCCGCTGCAGCCGCTCAGCTGCAGAAAGGCCGCTGCGCTAAGCTGTGAAGCACCCGAGGGATGCGGCGGGGAGCCGGCCGCGAGCGGCGCGGAGGCTGGGGGCGGGAGCGCGCGCGCGCCAGGGGCTCGTTCCTCGCGCGCCCGCACGGACAGTCTGCTGCAGCCGCTCTCGCGAGACTTCCGGTCCACACTTAAGGCCTCTCCTCCTGCGCTCGCGAGAAGGAAGGCGCGGTCACCTCCGCACCTTCCAAGAGCTGTCCGAGGTGCTAGTTCCCGGGCCCCGGCCGGGTCAGGTGGTCTGCAGGCACCTAAGGGACAAGAGCAAGGCGAGTACGCGCAAGAAAACGACCTTGAGATGGGAGCCTGGCATCAGCAGCCAGTGCCTCAGCTTTCAAATCTGTAAACTGGGAAGAATAACCTCCCATGCTGATCCCAGAGGCCTCGAAGACATGCCAGGAAGGAGGATTAAGAAAAAAACTTTGAGAACAAGAGAGTTTGGTGACTGATGAAGTTCCTCAGAGCCAAAGGCTCAGAGTGACATAAGAGACAGAGATGAGACATAGACATGGATATATGGACCACGGAAAGACAGATGAGAGACAAGCCGTGAATATAGGAAAAGAAACATAGGGAGACAAGACATGAGAGAAAAGAGACATGAAAAAATAAGACTAGGAGGTATGATGAAATGAGAAAGAAACCAGAAATAGAAACAGATAACCTACACAAAGGAATAGGAAAAAAGGGAGAGGCTTAGAAAAAGAAACAGAAGCCTGACATGGTAGCACAGACCCGTAATCCCAGGGACTTGGGAGACTGACACAGGAGGACTGCAAATTCAAGGCCAGCCTCTGCAATTTAGCAAGACTCCATCTCAAAAATATAAAATAGAATCACTGGGCTCAGTTGGGCAAGCCTGTAATCCCAGCAGCTCAGGAGGCTGAGGCAGGTAAGTGAGGGCTAGGTGAGGAGGATAGTGAATTCAAAGCCAGCTTCAGCAACTTATCAAGGCCCTGAGCAACTCTGCGAGACCCTGTCTCTAAATAATATATTTAAAAGGACTAGGGATGAGGCTCAGTGGTTAAGTGCCCCGGGGTTCAATCCCTAGTACCTAAATAAATAAACAGGGCTATGGGTGTAGCTCTGTGCTAAAGCACACCTGGGTTAAGTCCCCAGTGGCCAGGTGGAGGGGCACACAGAAATATGCAGAAATGAACACCAAAAGAGAATAGAGACCAGGATAAATGCTTTAAAATTCTACATTTGGAGAGTTGAGAGAGTCCACTTGGCGAAATGGGGCTGGGAATGGAAGACAGGCTTTTATTGTGAGTGATGTTTACATAGTAAATCTACTGTGGGATCTCCACAGCCAGGGCCATTCTCTGTCCTGCCAGCCAATTGCTCTCCCCCACACAGTACCCGCCACCTCCCACCCCTCACCCACACCATCCTGGGCCTGGAAAGGGGCCTTAGTGGGTGGGAGACACTGCAGGGATTCTTTGCCCAGAATAAGAGCCCATTGTCTGGCTCCAGCCTGCCAGGAATGGGGCCTCACTCCCACAGCTGGGATGAGAAGGAGAGGGAGTGAAGAAAGGCAGCCAAGAACTAGTGCCAGAGAGGGAAGAAGGGAGGGAGGTTCAGGGATGGGAGGGGCTAAACAGGAAGCAATATCCACCACTAGTCCAACCATAAAGGAAGAGTTCAGGTTTATAAGCAGGACAACTGAGTACTCTGTTGGTCCTGTCCCTGGGGGCACCCACATACATGGTCACTGCCCTTTATCCCTGAAATAATGCAAGTTTGGGATGATTTATAGAGCTGTGGGGAGGAGCCAATGAGAGGACAAATGGGAACCTGAAGAGATGATAACACATGACTCCTACAGGAAACATATGGGGAGTCCGTCTGGGCCTCAAGAAAGATATAAGGATTTACCCGGCCTTCATGAGAAGGCTTTGAGGCCCATATTCCACTCCAGAATCCACATGGAATTATAAGAGATAACTGATGGCTAATGTGGATCCTATAGGGAAAATGTTGAAGTTTTCATCTGATGACCACATACAGCTTTTCACAACTGGAAGAATTGGAAGGGCTCCTATTTGGCCATAAAACTAACAATGATGAGATAGGAAGAATAGCCAGGTCTGAAGTCAGAAGCATGTCTTTGTCCCAGGGGATTGTACCCTCTACATTTATGTTAACGGAAGGGAACAATGCTGTTAGTAGTGACAGTTATTTAAACAAGCTTTTATTCAACAGGCATTTGCTGAACATCTACTATGAGAAGCAGTATAGTGCAGTGGTTATGAACATGGGACAAGAAGGCAGACTGCCTGCAGCATAAATTGGAGCCAGGTGCTCATTCTCACTGAACCTTAGCTTTCCACATATGTAAAATAAGGAGCCCTTTTTGTCTTTAGGATTCCTATGAGAAGAAAATGAATAAAGGCACTAGACATGTGTAACACATGGAATGGTGCCTGGGACATAATAGATGTTTAATGGATGCCAGGCACTGGATACATGTCTTTTTCATGGTAGAAGGCAGGAGTGAGAGAGCCTGAACTCAAATTGGCTCAGATATAGAGACTATCACATCTGTTAGTCAAAGCATGTCAAAAGATTAAAGCCCAAATTAAGCCAGGCATAGTGATACATGCTTATAGTTCCAGCTACTCAGGGAGCTGAAGAAGAAGAATTACAAGTTCAAGTCCTGCCTTGGCAATTTAGCAAAACCCTGTCTCAAAGTAAAATGGTAAAGCATGTGCCTACCATGTGCAAGACCCTCTGTTCAATCTCCAGTTCCACCAAAAATAGAAGAAAAAAAAAGGTTAAGTCTAAGATTAGTGCTTGGAGACAGGGAGAAAAGTTCCCCTCCTCCTGCCATGGGTTGTCAAGGAAAGTCATAATACAAATGGTGGCAATGTTTAATCCCATTGCAAGGAGGGGCAAGTAACTGGGAAAATAATCAGTCATCCACAGTAGTAATTCTAGCCTGTTCGTCTTTTCCTGCCCAACCATGGCTAAATGAGGCATGTCCATCCAAGGGTTTCTGGGAGAAGACCAGCATTTACTGAACCTTTGCTACATTGATGTGAGAAGTTTAACCTCATGACTTTTGTATGAAGTAACTGCTATTATCTCCATTTGTAGATGAGATCAGATAGGTACAATGATCTTTCCAGGGAAATAAAGTGGATGTATCCAAGAAATGGAAGATCTGATACCTTTAGGCTGTATTTCCCCAAGGCAAACACTGTGATAAGGATGTAAGTACAAATAGCTACACCCCCAGCCATTTTATTTTTATTATTTATTTATTTTGTACTGCAGATTGAACCCAGAGCATTTAGCCACTGAGCCACATCCCTAGCCCTTTTGATTTCTCATTTTGAGACAGGGTATCACTAGGTTGCTTACAACCTCAAAAAATTGCTGAAGCTGGCTTCAAAACTGCAATCCTCCTATTTGAGAGATGATCTCTATTTGAGAGATGATCCCAGGAAGCACTAGTAGGGGAATAGGAAGAGTGAAACAAAGAAAGAAAGAAACTGTGGCCTGGTCTTTCAGAGAAACTTTGGGACAATGCAGAAAACAATGCAAGCGGAGCAGTGTGAAGAGGCGAGAACGACCCCCGGACCGACCAAAGCCGCGCGCCGCTGCATCCCCGCGTCCAGCGCCTGCGTCCCGCTGCCGTCGCCACCATGCCCAAGAGAAAGGCTGAAGGGGATGCTAAAGGAGATAAAGCCAAGGTGAAAGACGAACCACAGAGAAGATCTGCAAGGTTGTCTGCCAAACCTGCTCCTCCAAAGCCAGAGCCCAAGCCTAAAAAGGCCCCTGCAAAGAAGGGAGAGAAGGTACCCAAAGGGAAAAAGGGAAAAGCTGACACTGGCAAGGATGGGAATAACCCTGCAGAAAATGGAGATGCCAAAACAGACCAGGCACAGAAAGCTGAAGGTGCTGGAGATGCCAAGTGAAGTGTGTGCGTTTTTGATAACTGTGTACTTCTGGTGACTGTACAGTTTGAAATACTATTTTTTATCAAGTTTTATAAAAATGCAGAATTTTGTTTTACTTTTTTTTTTTTTTTTTTTTAAGCTATGTTGTTAGCACACAGAACACTTCATTGTTGTTTTTCGGGGGAAGGAGCATATGTCACTAGTAGAATGTCTCTAAAGCTGGATTGCTATGGGGGAAGACACCTTTCCCTTCTAGTTTTGAGAGACTTCCTCTTTGTTCCCAAGAGGAAGGGATTCCCTGATGTTGGCACACATAGCCACCTTGGCACAAATGCCTTGTGGTATGGAAAAACTCAAACTCATCTGTATGTCCTCCTGTCCCTCTCTGCCATCGGCATAGACTTAATTCCCCTAAACTCAGACCTATTGGGACCTGATTCCCAACGATTGGTTTTACCAGTGTGTGGGGCAATCTGGACTTTCCAGTGACGTCATTGAGAATAGTGTCCCTCAGAAGAGCAGCAGTTCCTTTTCTAGATTGTGGATCTTCAGATTAATAATTTTTGCCATTTTCCTTTCATTTCCTGAAAGTCAGGGTCGGCTTGTGAAAAGTTGTTAAACAACATGCTAAATGTGAAATGTCAACCCTCACTCTAAACTTTCCCTATTCAGAGCATCAAATGAAGACTTCATTGGGTTTTATAGTGGCTTTCTGATTTTGGTAGTCCATTCAAGAAAGGAGTTTGAAAGTTGTTGTATACTGTTAACGATTGTCTGCCCATGTCCTGCCTGAAATACCATGATTGTTTATGAAAAGTATCTTTAATAAAGCTGGATACAGTTTGGCTTGGAAAAAAAAAAAAAAAAAAGAAAACAATGCAAGCATCCTGCTGAAGAAGCAAGGAGACTGATGGGCTTTTGTTTGTTTTGTTTTTGTTTTTGTTTTTTGGTACTGAGGATTGAATATAGGGGCACTACGCCACTAAGCTACTTTCCCAATCTTTTTTTATTTTATTGTATTCTTTAAATTTTGAGACAGGGTCTCACTAAGTTGCTGAAGCTGGCCTTGAACTTGTTATCTTCCTGATTCGGACTCCTGAGTCACTGGGATTACAGGCATGTGCCACCATGCCCATCTGAGGTTTCATTATTAATTGATGGCTGCTCCTAGCACTCCTGAGCAGAGAATGCTCTCAATCAGCAAATTCCAGAGGCTTGCAGTAAAACCATCAGGAATGGCTTAGAGTTTGGGTAAGGCAGTATATGGTAGTATCTACTACAGCCAAGATCTAAACGCAAGTCTGTCTGGCTCCTGAGTCACATCATGCTGCTTCCAGCATGCTGTTAGTCCTGTGGAATTTTACATTATGGGATTTCTTTTCTTAACAGAGAGCCGCCTGCTCTCCCCAAGCCCCTCTACGACCCAGTCTTGTGAAATGCCAATTTCCTGATTCTTAATATGCATGCCTGATTGCATAGAACCCAGCATACGGTGGCACACATTTCAGCCGCAGAACCATGGCAATGTCAGATTATCTCATCCAGCTCCTTCACTACTCAGGTGGGCAACCCTGAGTCTTAGAGACCCACCCTAGATCTCCCTGAACATATGTGTCCTTTCCACACTGCTCCCCACTGCTTACTCCCAGTATTTGTCCTCTCTCCCCAACCAGACTGAAGCTCCCCAAGGCAACTCACAGAATTCAAGAAAGTATTTGCAAATCATATCTAATAACAGACTTGAATCTAGAATACATGAGTCATTTTTACAACTCAATTATAAAAGGTAAACTATCCACTTTATTTATTTTGTGTTTATTTTATTTTTTTGGTACTGAGAATTGAACCACTACTGCTACCATTAAACTACATTCCCAGCCCTTTTGATTTTGAGATAGTGTCTCACTAAATTGCTGAGGCCGGCTTTGAACTTCTGACGCTCCTGTCTCAGCCTCACAAGTCACCTGGGATTAAAGGAAAGTACCACCACACCCACCTGGCAAAAATCCACTTTAAAATGGGCAAATAATCTGAATAGAAATGTCTCCAAAAAAAATATACAAATGGTGAAGAAGCACATGAATACACAATTAGTCGTCACAGAAATGCAAAACAAAACCACAATGAGATTCAACTTCACATTCACTAGAATGACTATAATCAAAAAGACAGATAACTACTGGTGAGGAAATGGGGCAATCAGAATTCATACACTGCTGGTGGGAATGTAAAATGGTGCAGCCACTTTGGAAAACAGTTTGGCAGTTCCTCAGCTTTTTTTTTTTTCCTCTTCCCTGTACTGAACCCAGGGACACTCTGCCACTGAGCTACACTCCCAGCCATTTTATTTTTATTAGTTATTTATTTTGTACTGGAGATTGAACCCAGGGGCACTTAGCCACTGAGCCACATCCGTAGCCCTTTTAATTTTTCATTTTGAGACAGGGTATCACTAGATTGCTTACAACCTCAAAAAATTGCTGAAACTGGCTTCAAACCTGCGATCCTCCTGCCTCAGCCTCCTGAGCCACTAGGCCTTTTAAGTATTTTATTTAAAAACAGGGTCTCACTGAGTTGATTAGCACCTTGCTAAGTTGCTGAGGCTGGCTTTGAACTCCTAATCTTCCTGCCTCAGCCTCCCAGACTGCTGGGATCACAGGCGTGCACCACCATGCCTCACTTTGTTTTTATTTTGAAACAGGATCTCACTAAATTTCCCAGGCTGTCCTTGAACTTGCAATCCTTAGCCTCAGCATCCCAAGTTGCTGGGATTATAGGCATACATCTCTGTGGCCCACCCCAAATTGTATTGAGGATTGAATGTATAGTATATATGCACTATATGTATATATGTATATTCTGTATGCTGTGCTGGGGATTAAACCCAGGGCCTGGTACATGCTAAGCACATGCTTTACCACTGTTAAACTCCTGGCTCTCTCAATAATGTAAACATAAGTTACTTTTTTTAATATTTAGTTTTTAGTTAGTTGGTTGGACTCAATACCTTTATTTTATTTATTTTTATGTGGTGCTGAGGATCGAACCTGGGGCCTGCATGTGCTAGGCGAGTGCTCTACAGTTGAGCCACCACCCCAGCCCCGTAAGTTACCATTTAACCCAGCAATTCTGCTATAGATATACTCAAGAGAAATTAAAACATAGTCATAAAAAATACCAATAATATTTATTGCAACTTTATTAATATTTTTTTTTCTAGTTCAGGGATCAAACTTAGGCTTCCTACCTGTCAGGCTAGTGCTTTACCACTGAGCTACAGCCCTGGCCTGCAACCTTACAAATAGTAGCTGAAAACTGGAAAAGAAGAGCAATAAGAGAATGAATTTACAAATTTTCATATATTCATACAATGGAATATGACTCAACAGTTAAAAAACTGATATATACAACAACATGGATGAATTACAAAAACATGTTGAGCAAAATAAGCCAGACCAAAAATAAATAAAGCTGAAGCTGTGATACATATTTGTCATCCTAGCTACTCAGGAAGCTGAGGCAGAAGAATTGTTTGAGCCTAGGAGTTCCAGGACAGCCTGAGCAACATAGCAACACCCCATCTCAAAACAACAACAAAAAAATTACTGTTTTACACCTCTTATATGAAGTTTGGGAACAGGAAATCTAATATGATAGAAGTTAGAATAGTAGTTGCTCATTGAGGAGGGAGATAGATTGACTGGAAAGGTATAGAAAAAAATTTCTGGGGTCATACAAATATTCTAGATCTTGTTGTAGATGGTAGTTACAAGGTATATAAAAATTATCAAACTCATAAAACTGAAAAATTAAGATATGTGCATTTTATTGTATGTAAATTATAACTCAATAAAGTTTTGTTATCATAAAAGGAGGTGAAGTGCTTTCTAGAGCAGCTCCAGTCTAGAGAACAAGTACCATTCCCACCTTCTTTATCTTGCCATCCATTGGCGGCTCCTATTTCTTTTTTACTAGCAGTGCCTCCAGCGGACCACTTGGGGGCACCCATGTCTGAAGTGTCCAACAATTGCAGCGCTGATTCTCCACCAGCTGGGCTGCTCTGCCTAGTTAGAAGTGCTGGGTGCAGGGCAGCCCTCTGGTCTACATAAAACCCGGCTTCATCACATTTCTTACTGTCTAGCCAGCAGCTGCAAACATGGAATCCAGAACATTGCCTACTGCTCACTCGTTCACTTAGAACAGGAATCATGCAGCCAGCAGTACCCATTCAAACCTACTCCCACAAACTGCAGAGAAAGAAAAATGTCCCCCACAAGTCCCAACCTGGACCTGGGCCTGGGCCTGGCCCTAGTGAGCACTAACCTTGAGCATTGGCCAAGCCCCTGGATGCCAAATTCACAGGACACTGTTCCAGTTTTCACTTGCCTGACTGCTTGGTTGCATTGAAAAGCCAGTCTTTTTTTTTTAACTCAGGGGCATTCGACCACCGACCCATATCCTCAGCCCTATTTTGTATTTTACTTAGAGACAGGATCTCACTGAATTGCTTAGGGCCTCCCTTTTGTGTGCCACTACACCCAGCTGTAAGATTGGCTTTTCAATCGTATGCAGTGGTGCAAGTCTGTAATCCCAGTGGCTCCAGAATCTGAGTCAGGGGGATCGTGAGTTCAAAGCCAGCCTCAGCCAAAATCGAGGGCCTAAGCAACTCAGCAAGACCCTGTCTCTAAATAAAATACAAAATAGGGCTGGGGAAGTGGGTCCATGGCTAAACAGCCCTGGGTTCAATTCCCAGTACCAAAAAAAAAAAAAAAAGAGCTAATCTTGCTTTTGCCTCCACTGTGTCCCTCCTTCTTATCCTGACACCTTCTGCCCTTGCAACCTTGCCACCTCCACCCTGCCAAATCTGCAGCTACCTCTGAGGTGCCAAAGCTCTGTCTCTAGTCTGAATTCTCTCCCGTACTCCAGCCCTATCCCAACCTGGAACCCAGGTCTTTTCCCTATATCCATACCTCTTCTGTGATCCTGCCTTCAAAAATGGCCCTGTCACCTGGCATAGTGGCAGACACCTGTAATACCAACTACTCGGAGGCTGAGGAAGGAGGACACAATTTAGGGAGACCCTGCCTCAAAATAAAATAAAAAGGACTGGGGATGTAGTTCAGTGGTAGAGTACTTGCCTAGCATGCACAAAGGCACTGGGTTCCATCCTCAGTACCATCCTCAGTACCCAGGGTAGGGGCGGGTATTATCTATCATTGATAATAAGACATTTACATCATGTACCTCCTGATGTACACTTACTTCTATGATATCCTTGCCAGAAATTGCAAAAGTGCAATCTAATTATGATTTTAAAAAATCGGACAAGCCCCAATTGAGGGACATTATACAAAATAGCTGACAAGTACTCTTCAAAAAGACTATCTCAACCCTCAACCACCCAAACCAGATTCTGAGAAGTCAAGTCCTGTCAACTCTGTTCCCCATATCTTTGGAATCAATCCTTATTCCCCAGTGACTAGGAGGGCTGAGGCAGAAAGATTGCAAGTTCAAGGCCAGCCACAGCAATATTACAAGACCCTGTCTCAAAATTTAAAAAAATAAATAAATAAAAAGAGCTGAGGATGTGGCTCAGTGGCAAAATGCTCCTGGGTTCAATCCCCAGTACAAAAAAAAATTAAAATTAAAATAAATCCTTCTCTTTACATTCCCATATTAATTAACAGATTGGATCATTCTCAACTTTCTTTAGTGCAAAGCTCTTCTCAAAGGTCTTTCCCCACCTGACACTCATCCAACCTGTTCTCCAAGCAGCCACAGAGATCCTAAACATGTCACCCCTCACCCTATTTAGGGCCGTCCTGAGACTCCTCACTGCTCATGCA